GCTACCACTTAGCACTGTTTGCAGATTACAGCAGCCGAGTATTACAAATTTAATTCTAGTATTCTCAGCCATATGTGGTGATTTCTAGTAGTGGTCCACAGAGCTTACAGTCTGTGGATGTCATTTTTAGGAAAGGGGTCCTCAAGAGCATTCAGAGAAGAAGGACTGATCTGTCTCTCTTGGTAAATGAGAATGGGTTGCCTGGTATCCCTTTACAGGCTTTCACTCCCTTTGGGTGCTGGCAGTACACAGAAACCCACGCTCTTAACAATTCTAAGGAGTCAGATCCCTCCTCAGACTAGTACATGAAAACCAAAAAATGTTAACAATAAAAATCCCCGTATTACAGCAATTTCTGAAAATATGTCTCTGTAATAAAGGGTTGGGCTCCTGACTCATGAGAAGCAATTTGATTTACAGAAACAGCTCACTCCTGAGGCAAGCTGATCTGCCATGTGTTAAACAAGCATTTCTTGATAGGCTGCTTCCCACAGCCAGAGCTGTGATCTCCACTTCCTCCCCAACTCCCCTGATCAATGTGCTGTCCAGGGCTGGACCAGCCTCAGATGGGAGTGGGATGGATGGCTGAGCCAGGGCATGGGAATCAGTCTGGGAAATGTCACCCACTATGAGTAATGCTGCTGCTGGTGCCTCTGGGAAGTATCAGGAAGAGTTTTGTACTGCAGGAAGGTGAGCTGCTCTGTAATTATTTCCTGTGAGCTGCGTGAGAGCTTGCCTGCCCTTCTGGGCATGGATGGGTAATTATGGGCCCACACTGGAGGAATAAGCAACCTCGTGCATGTGACTTGGACAATGCCACCACTGTGGAGCTGGTGATTCTCAGGCACAGGGAAGTGGCACTCACATTTCTGTGGGTCTGCCTAGCTGGCCTCACTTGAAAGGAGCACCAAACACTTCCTAGAAGATAGACGGATGAATAAGAATTTTTTTGAGTACAGATCAACTCTACCTTGAGGGTGCTCTGTCTGTCATTTCAAGAACTAACTCAGCTCCGTCTCCCTAGGGGAAGGAGGGACTTCTGCCACACAGTGTGTTACTGCAGCTGCTGGTGGGGTAGTTCCAGTACTCCTGGCTGGTAGAGAGGAATTCTTAGTGTTTCTCTTTCACTGCAAGTCAGCTGGAGCTCTAAATGCAATGTGGAGTTGCTAGTGGCATGCTGGTATGTGGGTGCTGCATGTTACTGGGACATGGAGAACCAGCAGGGTGGTTTCAGCTTAAGCAGATCCCTGCCCAGTGAAGCCAAGGTGAATTTTGACTTCTACGAAGACCAAGCCCCATGTTTGGGGATGTTAAGGAAGTGGGTTCACTGATAAGCCTAACTTGCAAGTGTTGCTTTGAAATTGTCTTTACCAAGCAATGGAATAGGAAATCCTCCTGTTTCATATCTGCTGCAGTCCCAGGGAGCCTGCACAGTCAGCTCTGGCTTGGCATGAGGAGGAGGATGAAGGAGTGCATGTGCTACAGCATCCATGTCTGATCCAGCCCTTGTCAGTCTCACAGGTTGTCTTGAACCCACTCCCACAAGTGACTTCAAAGACATCTCAACACAGACAAGTCAAACACAGTATAGATTATTTGGCTCCTTTAGCATCCCTGGCTGTCAAGGTCTTCCTGATACCCATGAAGCTGAGAAGTTCTTCAAATGTAAAAGCTGAATGGAGCAATGGAAACTGGTAGATGGCTTTCATTGCTTACTGTCAGGTGTAACTGTCTCCCCTTGTTCACAGCACAGAGACAGGGACCTCTCCACTTTGAGTCCACTGAGTTCACAGAGTCCAGTGAATTGCCTGGGGAGTCCACAGAGATGGATTTAAAGATACTCCATATGACCTGAAACTCAAAAAAAAGCCCCTAAAAAAAGTCCCCAAAAAACACCCGCCAAAACCTGATCAAACAAAAAACCCAACCACAAACCTCCAGAACCCCAAAATCTAACTCCCATGGCTGGAAGCACTATCTTCTTTCAAACACAAGTCCTGAATTAACTATTCCTTCAAGGTTTCTCTTGGTCTCTTTTGAGCAAGAACACATCAAGTTCAGCAAGTACTGATCAATTCAGGGTGTTGTCAACATATTTTCAGACCTACTAGGTTTTGACAGTGTCTGAAGCACTGATTTACAGGTATGAGGCAGAATCTCTTAACACCCCAATCACTTTCTTAAGTGGGGTATAAGGATATCACTTGAAGCTGACTCTGGACCAACCCTCAGAAGAAATCCAGGTGTTGTTTAACTGAGTGCAATTGAATACAGAGCACTGTAGCCACACACTGCACTCAGGTAATCGTGTACTCAAATGGATAATAATGATAATTTTCTCCTCTTCTCATTTCCATATGGAACAGAAGTAATTAGCCATGTAACTGTGCCCCTCTGTCCAGCCAAGTATTGCTGAAAGGCTTGGAGCAGACCCAGTGTGTCAGGCTCCAGCTCAGCCTCCTGCTCCTTGGAGTGGCATTGACTTCCTGTATGAACCAGTGGAATTAACTCCTGGGGATGGTATTTCTGTATTGCCAACACACTGTTTATGTAAACAAGACATCCTTTGATATTCTCTTGTTTTTACCAACATACTTAACACTCTAACCTTCATAGGAAAAAATACTCATGTTATATTAATAACTGCTTTTTATATATTTCCTCAAGGAATTTTTCTCCACTTGAAACTCATAATAGAGCAGTTGAATTCCTTCTATTCAAATTTAAATGATTCATCAAATATTTTGCACTGACTCCTCAAGCTGCTGCTCAGACACACTGATGCTTAGTCAACTTTTTTAAAAAGAGCTGTCTTTTCCTTGTTTTCCTAGTGCTGTCCTAACATGTCTTTCTACAAAATAATGTTCCTGCATTGTCCTGGGCTCTCTCCCACTCCTGCTTTCCCACTGATTCCCCACAGTGGTGGGGATCTGAGAGGGAGGACCATATTTTGTTACACCTAAGTGAATATATGTCCTTCCTAACAAGGTCTGCTCTAAACAGGCCAGGTGGAAGAAAAGGAAGGGGGTACCCTTCCCTTTCACAGCAAACTGGTTAATCAATTCCTGACCTGCTCATGGTATTACTCACTGTAGCTGTGCTTGTTTGAATGTAATTAAAGCAGTGACAGGTCTTTCCCCAGCATACTTCAGGGCATCATGCTACCCATCATAATTGCTAGAGATGCTTTGTCCCATGTGCACATGGGATCTTGACCAAAACATCCTGCAGCACCATGCCATGGACAGTAAAAGCCCATCAGTGGAATGTCAGTGGTGCTAATTCACAGGAGGGTCTGGCCTTGCTGGGACACCCCTGCCATTGCTCCTGCACTGGTGGGGCAGTGCAGACCGCCTGGGCTTGCAGCAGCTACTTGCCATCCTGCATGTTTGGAGGGGTGATGCTATGAGAGAGCTCCTCAATCCCTCCATCAAGCCAGTCCCTCTTCCCAAAGGTATTATCTGAAAGTGGCTGCAATGCTTAAAGGTAGCAGCTGGCTGATACATTGAAATTATTTTCTCTCTGTCACAATCAGAGTAATTTCTAGGACTCCTTACTATCTTTCTGTAGCAAAATCAGGAAGACTGCAGCAGTTTTCAGGCCCTAAAGTTGCTCTGAAAATCCCCTTGCTTCAGCTTTTGTTTTCAGCCAACATTACTGTATTCCTACTGTTCCAATTTAGTACAAATAGCTCAGCTAACTGAGCACCCAGAAGAGATGTAAATTGTGGTGTAGCTGGAAATGTTCATTATTTGTGCTTTCCAGTTCTCAGATGTATGAAAAAGGTAAGTGATATTAGTCAGCTATGTATAACACCCGGGGTACAAACCACTATCTATGGGCAAGTGACAAGAGCCACTGGTGCCTGTGTAGTTCAGTGTGTAATGTATCTACTGGCTCTTGTTCTTCCATTGTAGGTATCTTGATCACCCAAGTGCAAACAAAAAGCTATTTGCTACAAAAACTGCATTCTATGTTATTAGTCAATAGTCTGACACCTGCTGTTCAGGAGAGTCCTCCACAAATGAAACACAATTTTGCTGCAGAAGCGGAAATCAAGTGTGCTAGTTGTCTCAGTTTGAAAAGACAGGTGTCTGCTAAGGAAGACAGTTGTTTCCCTTGAAATGGAAAATGTAAACCCCTCCCTCCAAATTATTATAATTTTGAAATTAAGGTGCTCTCAGGCAAAGATATGGGAATAGGAATAACAGTTCTTTACTAAGAAAATGAAAATTAAAATGCAGTAGTACAAAAAAACAAACCAACCAACCAACCAAAAAAAACCCAAAACAACCTACTGGCAGAGTGAGAATATAACCTGATACCCTGTTGGTCAGGGTGTTGGTAGCAGTCCAATTAAATGGTGGCTGCAGCCCTCCTGGAGTGACAGATGTGGTTCTGTTGAAGCAGTGATCCTGCAGAATCAGGGTACAGTTCTCTGGTCCAGTGCTGGTGCAGATGGGTCCAGTCTTCCTCTGGGAATCCAGTGGAAAAAGGCTGACTGTGTTGTTCTAAATCTCAGATTATATCTAGGTAGGAGTGCTTGGCTCTTCCCCCTGGGCAGAGCATCTCACAATGGGATGATGTAATTTTTTCAGTCATGCAAAACAGTTTGCATGTGCCTTTTGTTTTCTCTTCTAAAGATGAAGGTAAGGCCTACCCACTTGCCAGAGATGTGCCCAGGTTACTTGAGCAGCAAGAGAAGACCTTTACCTTTCCATCAGTGTGCTTCAGAAAGTGCTCTCCCAGAACGATGGGAGACTTACCCAAGAATGGTCAGAGCTCTATGAGATGTCACATTTTCTTGGAAGAGCTGATTATTTCACACCTCCTTTCATTCCAAATTTGGAACATAATATAAATATCAAAACTAAGCTTCTTGAAGTCTTTTGCTTACATCCTGGTGTTTGGATGTTTTATGGGATTCATATAAAACCAAAAAGTATTAAAAGTACTTGATAATTCTGTCAAAGTTTCAGTGAAATCAGCGATTATGTGAAACATTTCCACTCTTGTCTGTTCTGCTAGGAAGAAAAAAAAGTTGTCAGCTTTAATAAGAAATTAGCTACCAATTAAATTCATACCACTCATCAACATCAGCTCTACACTCCAGGCTACTAGCAGTGTCTTCCTTTAGCAGACAGGTACCACCACCAGCTTCCCATCATTTCTGCGACAGCTTTTCTCCATGTGGATGGAACAAGGCATGGGCTCTTGTGATGACAAGAAAACCTCAATCCTATTTTGTCTTCCTTTTCATTCTTCCATGTGTAAAGGAGGATGAGCAGCTCTTGTTTGCACTGAGGATCTCCTTGGCAAGGTGCAGCAACAGCAGTGGCTTAGAAAAATGAGCTGTGACCTTACAGGTCTTACCTCACGGCACTAAGCATGGTAAACGGGAGGAGTGCCAGCCTTACTTTCTTCAGTAAATCTACCCTAGGGTCTCAGAGCTTTAATCTACAGTATCCTCAGAGCAGAGGTAAATAAGGCTGGTGGCTAAAATTGAAGGGCTTCTGTTATCTTGTTTCTGCAGCAGTTTAAGGCCAATTACAGGGATGTGAAGCCTGGAAATACATCCTGATGTGCCACTCTACAAGAGATGTTTAACCACTTAAGTATCATGAAATAAGAAGTATCTCAATTTTGAAACAAGGTTTTCTTCTATTTTATATTTTTTTCTTTTCAATTGCTGGTTTCCAATCTGGGGAACACCTGGAGATTACTCAAGACTTATTGAATCAATTTTCAGCCCCTGTGAATAATTATAAAATTGAATAGTTTAAGAAGAAAAAAATGGAAAAATTCTTTTTTGAGTGGAAAAATGAATTAGCCTTGGAGCTTGGTGTCCTCTCCCAAGAAACTTGCAAAGTGTCTCTTACAATGTGGGAACAGCAATTTGATTGTATTAGAAAACAGACTGGAAAAATGCACAAATCAGACTGACAGGCAGTTCCAGTCAGCAGTGATTACAAAAACTCCAGCTCACAGCATGAGCCCTCTCTAACCACATCCAGGGGGGTCTATTTTTGAAAGGGATCAAAGACCTGACAAAAACATTCTCGCTGTCTCCATTTTAGAAGAATTCTGAATCACTCCATATGCCATGGTGTAAAATTTCAATTCTTTCCCTCCTCCTTCAGCACCACTGTTAGGGTGTGAGACAGGGTCAGACAGTAACTACTTGTATGACTGAGGAGTTTAAAGTTAAGCCTGTGCTTTGATGAACCGTAACAATCACACCGTATTTCAGAAGCACTGATCTCTGAGATGGCTCAGATGCTCTGCACCTCCCAGGCTCAGGTCTGTGAGGGCTGCTGCTTTGGAAGAGGCAATTACCTGTGCACAAGGATGTTGTGGTGATGAGCAAGGCGTATATTTGCTCCATAATCCTGCCTCTATCATCCTGCCTGTGCTAATACTTTGGGGAAGACCCCTTCTCATTTCCAGCTAGAGACATGGTGCTGCCACAGTATATCCTGATGAGAGGGCTCCAGTGGACACCAGTACGCTGCACGGGGCTGTGCCTGCTCGCTTGGTGTTACTATGTCACCTTTATCCTTTGTGTCACACCAGCCTTTGAACTTGCTTTTCCTGTTTTTCTCCTCACTACTCAGCTGTCCTGCATCTGAGCAAGACCTGCCCAGGCCCTGCCTGCTCTGTACCAATCTTAGGCCCATGGCTGCGGTGAGCACAGAGACCAAGAGATGTAGTGACACATGAACTTGTATGGCTGAGGAGATCATTCGTGGGAGGAGCACATCCTTGCTTCAGGGCAGCTGTGCCTGCCAAAGGGGCAGGATGGACTGCAAGGGGTGCCTGCTTCAGTCATCCAGCACCAAGTGGAACCTGCATCTCCCAGCACCCCATGTGGCGTGGCTCTGCCTTCAGAGCAGAGAAAGCAGAAGGCTCCCCAGCTGCAGTTACCAGGCAGCTTGATGGGCCTCACCCTCTTCAAACTTCTTCAAACCTCTAGCAAACACATCCACTTCCCTCTAAATTTTCTCTGCAGTCAACAAAGGAGAGGGGTGCTGCTAGGATATGGATATTCCTATCAGCAGCTATCCAGCTGAGTCCATTGGGTCCTCGTTTCTCCTCACTGGCCATAAGGAAGGTGCAGTGAACTTGCTCAGGTGTGGACGTCACTGCTGTAAAAACATGTGATGTGGGTGCTACTTTCTGAGTCACCAAGTGTGGAATCTGAGAGTCTTTGGATGTCACTCTACTACAGTAACACCACTGGAACAGCTTTCTGTGCATGTACATAATCCTTTCTGAAATGCAGAAAAGCCTTCTTTGAACCAAGAAAGCTCCAGATGTTACCATAACTCTCACAGTTTTCTTGCTCCAGAAACTAAAGGCTTTTCTTTAAATTAACAGCTGAGTTCCTGGCCTTACACACTGTTTTGAGCCCTCCCTCCCACAGCATCTCACAGGGACACAGCTCAAAAGGCTGCTAACCATCAAGTGCAGAGCTAGTCTATGCCTGTCAGGAATATCCTGTGCTGATTCCATATATTAATTATATGCTGTGTAAAAAATTACTTCCTAAGAGGTTTGTTTTTTTTAAGTTAAACTGAAGGTCTGGATCTTTTATATGTGTCAACAGACTAGACAGACCAGAATGGAAAATCCTGTAAGAGCCATACTTCATGTATCAGTATTGCATATCAGTGTCACATCTTCTTTGTTGTGGAATGAACCCTGTTGTTATAAAAGTAATCTTTCTTTAAAGGAGTATCCTCAGGTTTAACGTGTATTTCTTATTTCTCTTAATTTATTGCTTACCTTTGAAGGAGCAGGAAATCCCCTTGTCCACCTTTTGAGTGCTAATGGCTTGTAGCATGATGGATCTTTCACCTGGTGGGCAGGGAGGAATGCAGAATGAACGATATAACAAGGACAGGTGGTGGCAGGCAGGAGTTTGCTGGTGACACACCTTCAGGGGGTTCCCACACAAAGGGAATTTCACAGACTGTAAATTTCACAGCTCTGTTCACTGTGCTCTCAGCAGCCATTCCTTCATCACTGTACCTCACATCACCCATTTTTGCAAAATGCTACCAAGGAAGTATGTAGACAAGCAATCCCTAGCAACTCCTGATAGACATTGCGTGTCTTAATCCCAGTCATGAGCTGCATGGACAGATGACTTCATGATGATCTTTTGCCTACTGATTTCCTCATAAAAATTGACTTAAATGGTTAAACTATGAAGTAGCCATACAAAAGAAATTAAGTGTTAAAAGGATTAAGATACCATCATTAAGATACCATTATAATTACAACTACTTGGTACTGAAATTGAGGTTTTAACATGTGCACACTGACACTGTGGACCTGCAGTTGTAACATTTTTGATTGATGCAGTTTTCTGAAGCATGCCCATGCAGAGAACCCACCTGAGCCTGTAGGAAATCTCTGCTGGCAAAGCCACCATGCAGGTCAGTGCAAAAGTAAAGACTCTGTGGCTGTGCCTGCAGAATTGACAGTTTACCTGATTGAAATCTCAGCATGGGCAAAGTTAGAGCTCACAGAAGCAAAGGTCTTTGCTAAGAACCTAATTAAGATGACAGCAGTCTGGGCAGACCTTGTCTGGACACAGAAGTCAGGGCTTCAGTGTTACTGTGGACAAGACTTTAGTGCTGTCTTCAGAGATGGTTCTGGGAAACCATCAGTTCCCTGAAGCTGCACTGACTTAAAATGAGCTGTAAGGCATTTCCTGGTGCTGCATTTATAGAAATCAAGGTGTATTACAATTTTACACCCCTGTTTTTAGGAAATGCCCAGGCTGGCAGGTGGTGACAACTCTCTTTATAGGTGCCTGCACTGCAGAACTTATCCAGAGCACTGTAGAGGTTTCATAGCAACTTCTTTCCATGGTCTTGCTGCTCAGTTATGTTGTTTGCCATCATAAAACAGTGTTTCTGCCTATTTAAACTAGTTTAGTTCTTTTAAGCTGGCCAGGCATTGGCAGTACAGCAGCAGTGTCTGATTTATATCCTTTTCAGCTTTCTATCTTCATATTCCTCCAAAACTAACAAAACCTGAACCAATGTAAGTGGGTTTCATGCTTTTTTTTTATTTTTTATTAACTAGACCATCAGCCCATTGCTTAAATTGCTGAACAATAGAAAACCTCCCAATTCAAAACAGAAAATCCAAATTTAAAAACAAATATACACAGCAGCAGCAATGTATTCTCTGATCTCTGCATCTTTTACATAGCTCCTCTGGCATATCAAAACCAACAGATGCTGATCATGTGCTCTGGACAACTCTTTCCAAGTACCGTGAGAGACATCACATTTTTGAGCCAAAAATGCTCTTAAGGACAAGCAAAACCAAAGTAGCTAAACTGAGATAACCTTTATGTGCACACATGTGTATCCAGTTTAAAAATGGCCATAGGTTTTAAGCCTATTCACCAAGAGCATCCAGGTTTGAACATATTGAAGTGTTTATTCAGTATTGCTGGCTGAGACAGGCAGCTTCTGTCAGGCAGCTTGAAATGACACCTTTAACTAGAAAGAAAGTGAGGGAGCAATTTGGTGAGTGGAGAAAACTTTAAAGGGTTTGGGTGTAAGAGGGTGCAAGAGAGAAACCCAGATTACTTCTGTGTCCTGGAGCAGGGCTGAGACACTGTTTGTTCCTGAAGCAATTCACTACAGAAATACATATTCTTGGTGTTTTCCTTGAAACCTGCAGTGCTCTGTAAGCTCTCTCATAGAGAGCCATGAATAACTATGATTGTATGATTCTATTGTATGATTCTATGAACTGGAGTGCAGGAGGAAATGTGGATTCAAGCCCTCCCATACTGAAGCCAGACTCCTTCCTGCCCTCACCAGGATCCATCCCTGTCTGATGATGAACAAATCCAATATTCACAGGACATGGCATCCCACATGAGTATGACTGAGGCACAAACCAGGCCTTCCAAAACTGCCCAATATGAACTCTCTCCCTCTTTCCCTGAGCTTGGCTGCCACTATTTTAACCCATCATCAGGCACCTCCACTAGAGATTGGCTGCACTTGCTTCCTCATGCATGTTGGGGATTTGCCTGCTCTTGCCGTTTGCCAAACTTTACTGCTTTAAAACATTGGATTTGTTGCTCAGCACTAGTGCTTGGACCAATGTGGCTATGTCAGCTGTTGGCATCAGTTGCAGAGACCACGGCAAACTTCCAGAGCAGATCAGACCTTGGATTTCTATCAAAACCCATCTGTTCCTGACTGAGAGTGATTCCCACCACCTTTATAGCTGGGTGGGATAATGAGCTATTGAATCCACAAATTAGCACAACATGGAGTTCTTTTAATAGCTTTCCTCTACAGAAAGTCTAGTGTATACAAGCAGGCCAGCAAGCTAGAGGACTTATAGCTGACAGAGTCAATTGTTTTTAAAGAGTTACTGCAGTGCTGTCATTTGAAAAGCAATTTAATATTACTCCCATGACAGTCACTTCAAATATTCTGGAAACAACCCGTATGAAACCATGGATGACAGTTACAACACTAGTCTTTTCTGAGATGTCCAGACCAGATTTGTGTACAGCTTGTGCTGGGCAGGACTGTGAGGTGAACAATGCAGCAAACACAGCTCTTCCATCCACCTAAATCCACTTGGCAGTGGGGGTGTGCAGGGGGTGAACCTCACACCTCAGGCCTGCCACAGGAGTGCTGTAATTGAAGAGCATAAGGGCTGGAAAGAATTCTCACAAAGGTGCTGCAGCAGCACTCCCTCCACAGCAAGCTGCAGCACCAAGGGTTAACACTCTGCTGTCTGCCTCACAAATCTGCATAATGCCTTGCTTTGGCATCTCATTTGCATAATTTTAAATTACTCTGGAAAATAAAATCTAAAACATAGGTTCAGACATAAGTGGTAGATACTAATGTTTCATATCCTAAGAAGGCTTGGTTAAGTCTATTTGTCTGAACTCGACAATAGAGGTTGTAAAAATAATTTTAACAGAGAGATGTTGTTTCTTTATTGTACAGCCTTTAGTGCCATTTTGACTACCTAAATAAGGTGTAATGTGCTCACCCACTCCTCACAGAGGGGATGAAGCTTGCCTACACACGCTCAGACTCTCTGGCTCTCCAGAAGGCTCTGCAGCTCCATCCTTTGCCGGGAGGGGGGAGGCGGGGGGCGGTCCAGCCCACCCCTCTCATTAAACTGCAGAAACAATGCAGCAACTGGAAACTGAATCCCTGTCATCAGCGCATCCTTACCAGGGATGGGCTTCCAGGCTGTAGCTGTGTACTCAGAGGTGTCGACACCCGATGAGCTCAGCGTCCCACCTCCCACTGCCAGGAGGGATTCAGTTTAACAGAGGATGGATGCCTACATTTCCTCAGACGAATCACACTTCCAGCTCCATTGACTGCCATAACTAAATCTCCACTGCCTAGTGTGGGAGACTAGACACCTAAATTCAGGTATCTGTTTTCTGGATCTGATTCCCACTCCAAATTCAGCTGACAGCCTGTGAGGTGGTCTTTGTAGGCAGAGCCCCATACCTCTCAGTAATCCTCTCCCTCATGCTGGGAGACAGATACAAAGCACAGTGTCTTCTCTCTGTGATGTGTTTCAGTGTAGGAAAAGGGGCTGTTAGCCTGCACTGGCACTTCAGTGTGTTTTAAATCATAGCTTATCAGAACAGCAGAATAAATCCTAGGAAATAGAAAGCCAAATGGCTAAGTTGCTTGTAATTATGACTGAAGCCTATCTGAACTCCTGTCCTAGTGCCTTATGTACTATAAACTTCTGTACATTCCTCAGGCAAAAGCTGGTGGCATGTGCATTAAAATTTAATAATATTTCTAAATGGGACATCCCAAACCAATGTATTTGTGCTCTGTAGTCCCAAAAGCTGGGTGACAGAAGAAGACATTCCCAAAGGGCATCAGCAATGTGCCCAGCAGGCATTCTGCCCAGGGGAGCAGCCAAGGGTTGGTTCCCCTGCCAGCTGGAAGGCACTGCGACAGGGAAAACTTCAGGCAAATTTAGCTGGGTCTAGGTTGTACAAAATGTACAGGGGCAAAGGCCAAGTGTAAGTACGTAATTATGAGTGAACAGATCTGTCAAATGCTAACAAGTTTATACCTGGCTTATTTAATGCAGTTTTTCTTTTGCCCAATGCTCATAAACCAAATTCAAACTTTGAAGTTTCCTGCAAGTGATAATATACTGACTGCCCTCCTTCAGATTCTAGTGGCATTACAGTTTTCATGAAAATGTTTCAAAGATGACTTATTTATATATGGCCATATTTCTTCTCCTTTCCCATTTTGCAATACCTAATCCTTTTGCTTGACATTTTTGTTAAAAAATAGACAAAGTATATATACAGTATTAAACATTTAAGCCCCAGTAACTAAAGTCTCAGTTCACAGCAAAAGGCAAGTGAAATTACCTGTATGTTCAGTTAGTAGTAATTCTGAATGTACAAATCTGCCTGCAGTTTTGTGTCAACTACCTACCTGCCTGTCTGTAGAAATACGCTCACCAACACAGATGCAGGCATATGCAAGTGTTGCAATTGCTGTTATTCACAATCAAATGTTCAGCCATCAGTTAACTGTGTCCCTTTCCCCTTAACTGCAATGGAAGAAAAACCTTCCACACTATTTATTCATATTTTCTTTCCTCCATTAGTTTCAATAAAGCTAAATGTTAACTGCCAAACAGTTCCCAGCACAGTCTTCTTGTACTCCGTTTCCTGTTGACCACTGTCTCCATTGCAATTCTTTTTCTGCCTTTCAGTACTTAAGAACCATCACCACAATCCTGTTCTGTGGGACTCACAAATGTTAGAGCTGCCTCTTTTGACATGAATTTAACATCTACTTTTTTTGACATTTAATCACTTCTGTAACTGGTTGCAAGACCCACTGCAACTGTGTTCTCATCTAGGGAAGATGCTATAGGGACATGGAAGAACACTAAAAAAAAAACCATCCTGTTCTATGTGAATGCCCTTAGTGATTGGAAGGGGGAAAACAAAGAAGAAAAAAACCTCATAAGATATTTAGCAGAAGGTGCAATCACCTCTGGAAGCAACACCCATTGTTTAAAGGGAATGGGCTGTGTTTGACACTTTGCCTGTGCCTCCTGACAGGAACCTGAAATGCTGAAATATGGAAGAGATATTTCAGAAGGGATGGTGGATGTGTAGCCTCTGTGTACACTCATTTTGCCAGGCCAAATTTCTCCTGAACAGCCGCTGTTTATAAGCCACTTCTCAAATGACACAGCTTCTGGTTTGCTTCGAGTGCCAGCTGTAAACGGAGGCTGCCTTGGAGCTATTTCACAATCAGATCAGCTTTCTGTCTGTGTGCCTGTGCTATTGTTCAAATCAGCAGTCTGGGCTGTAACTCATCTTCCTCTCACCGTCTTCTGTTTGATGTTGTGGAGCAGCCTGAGAGCACACAACTGTGGCCTCCTTTGGGGTAAAACCAAATGGGAAATTCTGCTCCCAAAGTGCCTCGTTATCTCTGGGAAAGATATGGATGTTCAGTCCATGAGGAACAGATAGAGCTGGCCAACAAAACCATGCTCAATAGGGGGATGGCTGGGGACTTGGCACCCACTGCTTTGTGCTACACTGAACTTCTCTGGAAATGTTTACATTTTAATTTTTTTTTTTCAAGGGGAATTAAAACCCAAGAACTATCTACTATTTCTTCTGATAGTATAAATAGCCATGCATGACAAATGGCTATTTAATGGCAGAGGAACAGCAGCTAAAAAGTGGGCTGAAAATATGTATGCTGAAAGGTAAATCCTGGCCCCACTAGAGTCCATGGAATAATTCACTTGCTTTTGACCTGGAAGGTCTCAACTCCTTTCCCTACCAGAAACAAATTTACTCTGCAATAATTTCAGAAGGAAGTACCTGAATCAAGGCCACACAGAACTGTTGCTGTGAATGAATGTATTTCACCCACACATTTTATAATGATGACTTTTTTCAAAACTGCCGTCTTTGAAGGTAAATATGGTTAAGACAAGAGTAGCTAACCCAATCAAATGAAACTAATAGGGGACAAAAAACTAAACAAACCTTTTCTTGTCCTAGTTAATCACCTTGACAGCCTGCAGATAGATAAGAAGGCAACTCCCTAGGGAACCCTGAAAACCCCTCACCTTAAAGTTGCCACAGTTCAAACAAATTCTGTCTTTCCTTACCAGGAACTTAAAGGAAGCTGCTCTGATACAAAAGAACACAATTCTGGTTTACAGCTGCCTGCACAGGAACACTTGCCCAGGTGACACAAAGTCTCAGAGATAACACCACCAAGTACACTGTGCACGCCAGTTGTGCCCATGCCACCTTACAGGGACAGTCACACAAGAGGCTGCCCACAGCCTCCTCCTTCAGCTCCTGCACAGTGCCCAGGATGCCTCATGAGCTCCTCTTGTCACATTCAGCTGCATTTGTTACTGGACAGGTCTGGTCTACACATAAGGAAGTGATCATGTAAACTTTGTGGTGGGGCTTGGACAAGATGTCCTAGATGCCCAGTCAGAAGGAATAGATGTTCAGAAGTGTCTCTACAGGAGCTGGAAGAGAAAGATGCAAGTAAGGTGACAACCATGGTGAGATGCAATGTCAAATGAGTGTCAAATGAGTGTCAAAATCTCAGTCTACCAGCTACTGGTGGATCTACAAACTCCACCAAACACTGGGCAGATAGCTTACTTTGATCCCAGACATGTTGTGCCAACACCACTAAACAAAGAAAGCAAACCATACTGTAAAGGAAGGAGAAATAGATCATAGGTACCTTGCGTTACTTGGGTTGGAAAGGACATTAAAGAACATCTAGTTCCAACTTCCATGCCATGGGAAGAGATACTTTCCACTGGACCATGTTGCTCAAAGCCCCATGCAACCTTGAACGCTTCCAGGGATGAGACATCCACAGCTTCTTCAGGCAGTCTGCTCCAGTGCATCACCACCTTCACACTGAATAATTTCTACCTTATCTTTCATCTAAATCTGCCCTCTTCCAAAGTAAAGCCATTACTATGTGCCTTTGTAGAAAGTCCCTCTCCAGCTTTCTTGGAGGCTAAATTTCTTGCAGAATCCTAATTTCTGTCCCTTCACTGGGGCCCTTTGTTGCAGAGCTAAAGAGAGGAAATGCAGAGTAGATCAGACAAGGGAGGAGAAGGGAGATTAGGCACCTCCATAATTGCCTGATTTTAAATAATGTATTTTAGTCCAGGCTGTGTGCCAAAGCTCACCATATTCACTTCTGAATATCTGAGTCTCAGCCAAATCTATGGTTTCAGAGGTTTCTGCTAGCTTAAGTGACCCAAGAATTCGAGAGGCAGCAGGAGAACCACTTAAGTCCTCCTGCTAGGGGAAAGATAAAGATCAAAGCAGAGCTTCAGTTGCTTCAGCAACTTTTTTAGTTGCTGAAGAATCACAGGGCAGAGAGAAATAATGTGTGCACTACTAGACATTGAAAAACCCATTGTAAGAAAAGTTCCATGGAAAATGAATTTTCATCTGCTCTGCTATGAAAGTGTTACCTTGCTTCAGTCTGTGACACAAGGTGATGGAAACGTTGCCATGTACTTTGCTCTTCATTATAGGAACTTCTTTTCAGCCTTGGGAACAATCTAGAAACTGCAGTTTTCTGCACAGCAATCTTGCCTGACATTTCTAGGAATGCTGGCCTCATTTCTTCCAGAGCAAAATACAATCTTATGGTGCCAGCCTGATGTCAGCTGTTGATATCTGGAGTTAACAGCATGGAAAGTGCACTCCGGAGCTCTCCTTCACTGCCTGAAGCCTTTAATTCCACTTGGGGCCTCTTCCCTGACTTCTGCACATCCCATCAGCCATTGGCCTGTGCTACACCTGCTGGCATCTGCTCCCACTGTTTACAGAGCAAAGTCCATTCCAGTCCTCTTACCCCAATCCTCCCATCTTTAGCAGGTCCCCTCCCCTCAGAATGAACAGACTCTGTGTAATCTGCCAGGCCTGCAGCTGCTGTGTAGCAAGCAGTTGGGAATAAATCTGTCCCAGTGCATGTTATTGAGAAGCTTTTTCTAATGTGAAAGTTCCTGATCCACTGGAACTGAACATCTGTGGAGCAGGAGGCTGGATAAGATGACCTCCAGAGATCCCTCTTTGGATCTCTGTGCTTCTACCAGTCTGAAAACTTCAAGAAACACTGACCCATCAAAACAGAATTTCAGATATGACAGCAGATATAACAGGAGTTATTTTGTATGGTATTTCCAAGTTGACAAAACTCTTGCACAGAAAATATATGAGCAAGAGACTTGTTCTGCAGGTTGGGTGTTGGTGTATTTATAGCTGCACCTTCATAAGGAAGCTGTTGCTTTACCTGTAGACCTGAAAATAGCACTATCTACACATGGAGGAGCTTTGCAATGTAGGCAGCCAAATTTCTTAGGCCAAGACATACAGTGTCGTCTTAAAGTTATATTTTGTAAAGAAAGATTTTTTCATGACTTGGCAAACATGAATTCAAAATATCATTTCAGTATTGGATGCTCACATCCAAGACTGGGGCAATTGAGAGAACACTTCAGACAAATCTTCTGTTTTGAAGTACTTAAAAAAACACAGGTTGTAAGAATGAGTAGCTCTGCAATCAGAAAGCAATTCTATTTGAAGTCAACTTCAGATAATCAAAGGGCTAACATGCTGTAACCCCCCGTAATTATCTTCCAAAACCAATTGGCCAAAGCAGGCATTCAACGCTTGCCACTTCCTGGTAATGCAAAAGTCAACCAGTAAGATGCAGCCTCACATCCTTGAGCTGGAACTTCCTCCATATTCCAAACTCCTGTCAGAATAACATCATGGGTTGAGCACTTGGCTTTGTGTCCTCTCACCTATGTTTAGTTGCCCTTTTAGGCAGCAGTGTAAACTCTTTGTGTGAACAAGAGCTGACATTTGCACTACTCAAGTTTATTCTGGCTCTGAATACAGTTCCAGTGGAATCTGTTTTAATTTTTAAAAAAATTTTTGTCATGCTGAGTGTTTGCATTGGCAAAGCCACAAGCAATGGCTAAAACCGGGGTTCAGACACAATGTAAATAAAGCTACAGAAAAGGATTGCTTGGAAATGGCCAGCCGCAGAATGCTGAGGCCTAACAGATGTGCACCCCCTTAGGGCTTTCCCAACTCCTTTCCTGTATCTATCCAGTTTCCATAACCCATTGACTTTTAAAGGCTGTGTGTTAATGGTGAAAGAGAGAGAGCAATGGAAATCTCTTCCTTATGCCCATCCCCTTGAAGAATTCCAATGAACAAGTCATAGCATTTGGAAATGTAAATGCTTTGGAGAGCTACATCTTGAACAGAAAAGCAAACACAATTATCTGGAATTTCCCAAAACCTACCAAAAATTCTTGACAGTATTCAGAAGGGCTCCACAGGAATTCACGTGACCCATCTTCCTGCTGTTCAATGGAAAAAAGAAATGATGGCCAAAGGGAAATATTTTTCTTTTTTGCATGGGAAAAAAAAATCAAATGGAGAAGCAAGGCTTTTCAGGTGCTTATCAAAACATGCAATTGATTCTGATAAAATAACTGAGGTAAACACAGCTCACAAGAATCACTGTGATAAACACCACAAATACTTTCAGGGAAAGCATAAAGACTGATGCTGGGAAGAAAAAAGGCAGGAAAAAACCTAACAAACTTAGGTACAGTCAAACACAGAACTAAATAATAAATAAATGCTAAGCTCTGTTCTAACAGGAAAAAATGTAAAAACATAAACATGGATCTACTAGTTTTTAGAAGCACAGCTACTGCACTGTCTCACTACCAAACAGAAGGAGTCCTATTCCACGCCTCATAGATTTCCAGAAACCTGTTAGTATTTCCCTCCCAGGATAAGCTAAATTACTTATTTGTATTCTTGGAGGCATTTGAGTATCACTGCCACTTGAGAACAGAACATATGGAGAAACTTCATCTAAGAAATCTGGAATGCATCAATTGAGTATTTCTTCTCTTTATGACATTTCCTCATGTTAATGATAGTTGGGGAAAAAAAGCTTCATAAACTCCCCAAATCTCTGGGCAGCAAGCAGCTGCATCAGCCTATTCTTGGATTAGCTCCTTTCAGCTGAACTGGAAAAAGAGGCTAGGAAGAAAAGGGAGTGGAAGATGGGAAGTTACAAAGTTCCTTAAGGTCTGAAAGTGGGGAACAAACTGAGATTTTTAGTGTTTATGATTATACAGACTCAGAAATCAGTTCTAACTCACTGAACTAGGTTCTAAAAGTTTTTTGGCACTGCTATCATGTGATCACCATCATTTCTCACATGCTAAAAAATTCTGAGTCAGTTTTCAAAATTTCTGATTTCCCGAA